GAAAATAAATAAAAACAAGAAGCAAATAGAATAAAATAAAAAAGAAAATCTAAATATAAAATAAATAAAATAAAAAAAGTAAAAAAAATAAAATATAAAAAAGAAAGAAAAAAAATAAAAATATAAACTCACAAAGGTATCTCCTGCTCTCTGAGCCACGAGATGGAGACGGCGGGGCCTCAGCAGCTGCACTGTCTCCTCCGTACTTAGTTGTTTTTGTGTTGTTTTTGTTATACAAACCTAGAAAAAAAGAGACAAATATATTATATTTATTTATATTTATTTATATTTATATTTATTTTATTTATTTATTTTTATCTAGGGGGCTCCTTAATTTATTGTTATTTCAGCAGAAAAATAAATAAATATAAAAGGAGACACATAAATAAATATAAAAGGAGACAATTATAAAAAGGAGACAGATTAATAAATATAATATGAAGGAGACAGACAAACAAATATAATAAAAAGGAGAAATGCAAAGAAACAAAAGAAAAGGGAGACAGAGAGAGAAACAAAATAAAAAAAGAAATATATAAACAAAACAAACAAAAAGGAAATGAGAGACAGAAACACAAACAAAACAAAAAACCACTACGGTGTACGTACACCCCAACAATAGAAACATGCATGCATGCATGCATACATAAATACACGCATGCATGCATAGATACATGCATGCATGCATGCATACATGCATGCATGCATGCATAAATACACAAATAAATACATGCATGCATGGATAAATACAAAAATACATGCACGCATGCACGCCTACATAAATACATAAATAAATACATGCACGCATGCACGCATGCATGCATAAATAAAAAAATACATGCATGCATGCATGCATGCATGGGGCTGGATTGTACTTGTTTATTTTCTCCGAGTGTTTGCCACTGCTGTCTGAAAATTTCTTTGTGTATTTTTCCTGAATCTTCTAACACCTCCGCCAGAGTATAAGGAACAGCAAAATAAAATATATCTATGTTACACTTCACCGCCATCTATATATATATATATATATATATATATATATATATAGGCAGCAGCAGCAGCAGCAGCAGCAGCAGCAGCAGCAGGAGTAGCAGCGGGAGTAGCAGCAAGAGGAGGAGGAGAAGTGGAGCAGCAGGGAGAGAGAGATGCAGCAGCACACACACACACACACACACACACACACACACACAGATATATATATATATGTATGTCTATATATATATATATATATATATATATATATATATATATATATATATATATATATATATAT